TAACAGTAGGAATGTGACTGCAGAGATACTTGCGAAAATGCCGTGTAGGAAAGCTGGTAAGGTAAGCAAACCGATTGCCATCTGATCGTACAAATATACTGTTCCTACTGTAAAATTTGCCTGAAGTATTGAATAATTCCTAAAAGTGACATCTTTCTGACACACTCAGAAGGTGATTGCTTGACGTTTAGATTAAATGTTGATTCATGTGGCTTAATTCAGAGTCATAAATATGTGTTTGAGATACCTCTTGTGTGTACCGGGTACGTAATGTAACATACAATGTATAACGGGCACCTTCCCAATGTGTACAGATTTGATTTAAACATATTTATTCAAGAGAATGGATTGGGTACAAGTTATGCCAACTTAGTGAAACCCTCTCTTATTCACAGTGCTTACATGCAAAAGTGAAACAAACTATATGTACAGGGATAGAAAGATATATACAAAATGATATATACAATACAATGAATACATGAATTATTTAGATCATACACATTATATCCAATCACTGAACCTTTTGGAATTTGATATATATTTTTGAACTTCTCTAAGAATGTGAATATTGTCACTATACGGAAGATCTGCACTGCCATTTAATAGTACGTCTAGGTTTGTTGGTGCTTTACTGTTACAAATTCTGCTAATATTTTGAAACATTTCCTCTCTGATAACAGAATACAAAGAACAATCCATAAAATAATGTTGAGAATTTTCACAGGTAAATTTACAATTACATTCCTGGTTCTCTATGAGACCGATCCTATATAGATCACCATTTAATCTACTATTTGAATATGCTTTTGACTTGCGCGAGCTTATATGCGATTTAAAACTTTTAAGGGAAACTGACGACTTGTGTGACTAAAATGCCTTATATGCGTTAAGCATTTCATAAATATAATAACTTTTGTGCTCTAGTGACTGCTTAAGGCGGCAACTGTAGCGTTACAAGTGTGTTCCTGATTAAAATGCCACTCAATCACACCCCTATGCAAGAAAACAGGTATTCCCTAATGAGTCCGGTGTTTGTGCTATATGCTCCCGAGTTGTTGTTGACCTGCTCTTACATGTGCTTATGACGGATTGCTCACATTATCATTATTATCACTCTCTACTGGTAATTCAAAAACACCTCCTCATAAAGTTGTCGGAATCGTAAAATCAGTTCAGTTGTTAACCGAGATTACTTAAGAATATGGGTAAGATTGTGTCGCATTCCTTAAACACATCAGAAGAATCCTGTACCTTTTGAATAATCATTCTTCTGCGTCATGTAATGTAAATGTTATTCTACATTCTGGGGTTTCTTGACGAGTCACAAGTCAGAAAACCTTCCTCATAACTTCATGACAGAACTAGCCTTGTATTCACGTCTATTCGACTCGTAGAAATAAAAAACAAACAACGTATGGTCGAGTGTGTCTGATGTAAAATAGGATATAGTCACGTTATAAACGCTATCGATTGGCCTGACGCAGCAGCCAAGCAAACAGCACGACTTTCTGCATTCAAAGGAGAAAGTAGCACAGTGTAGATGCATTGCGAAATCCAGCTTAGGTTTCAAGGGTTCAGTATCGCTTATCATATTGACTTGATCGGGCTGTGTACACATAACGCTATGCGAGCAGGCTCAGGTATATAAGAGGTAAAGCAGTGAGTAATGTATGGTGGCTGGGTGGGGACATCACTTTCCCCTTTACGGTCTTGAGAAAGAGATAATATGACACGAGAAGCGATAGCACGAGAGAAATATCGTCTTCTCGACTCGTGCTATCGCTTTCTCCTATTTCTCGTCTCGTGCTATCGCTTTCTCGCGACCTTAGCTGAAGGCGACAAGGCGATGTTCTCTCGGCCACCATCCTGTTAGCTATTAGAGAAGGGAGTGGGTGAGTGAGAATGGTTTTACGCCGCTTTATCAATAATCCAGCAATATCGCGGCGGGGATTCCAGAAATGGACTTCACACATTGTACCCATGTGGGAATCGAACCCGGGTCTACGACGTGACGAGCGAACGCTTTAACCACTAGGATAAATCCCATCGCCCCTATTAGAGAAGGAATAAAACAGATCAAGTGGTCAGACTTCGAAGACCATGTGTCATTGTTCTCGACGGCCTGGTACGTCGCCCATAACCTCAATCACAGGTTCGTCTGGTCCAGACACCAGCATTAAAATTCCATCTTCGTATGACAGGGACAAGAAACAAAATCATAGAGGACGGAGAAGGCATTTGGCCAACGCATATCGCATCATGTACTTCATCAAGCACGCAACGCCCCGTAGTCAACTACGCATTGAATAGTTTTTCCATCAGATCAATCCGTGTAACACATATCTTAGATAATATATGTAGTTTGTTAGTGCCTGTATCATCAGTGAACGCTTGTCTACATAGATAGGTATATACACTGGTATAAATGGTTTAAGATTTAGAAGCAACGAGTAAACAAACTTCACTCAATATCAACAAACTCCTAAATTCTAATACCCACAATGGTTTTAGACGGGAAAATACCACCCTATTTCGACTTGAATGCTGTAAAAGCAGGTGTCCCAAAATCGGGGGGGGTTGTTGTTGGTTGAGGGGTTGTTTCGTTGATGTCTTACGCTACCAGTCACCAGTTGACTCTACTGCCCTGGGAAGACATATGATATAGACATGCCTGTACCAACCTTGACCTGGGCGATGTGTGGAGATAATAATTAACTCATACAATGTGGTATCCCTGTCTTATGACCCACATTGTATAGCTGTGTCATGTAAGAATCCTCTCACCTTTCATCAGACCATCGGTGTGCGGTTTGATCTCACAGAGACCCAGGAAGGTGGACTTACCCACTGACTACTCACTGACACTTAAAGATGTCCTTTGCTTGACCATCAGCGGGTCAACAATTTGGGTTGTATTTCACTGAGTAGCCATGACCATAGTCTCTCGTACCATGACCATGGTTAGATAACTAGGATTTGTGTGGAAAATAGGCTCAACTCGTCCCCCCACACACACACAAACACATACCTCCACCACCACCCCATCCCCAACCCGACCCCTACTCGTCACACACGCACATGGCGACCGAGATCCGCCGTCAACAATAGCAAGTCGTCCTGATCAACGTGTCTGTCATGCGTGTGATGACCACAGACCAGAGAATGTGTCCCCGTTGACATTCATTCATTACACAGTCCGTCATAACATCCCATCACAGCTATTCAGTCAGCTAATGAGTCTGCAGCGACGGGAAACAGTTGTGATGTTAGGGTTGTCGTCGTTTGAACTGTACTTCAGATACCACGCTGCGTTAAATAACACGCTGGTCAAGTTCAAAATATTCTCATTGGTGTGTTATACCTCTCTAGTGCACTTCTTAATTCGACTGGACGTCTACTCGTAGCATACCACCATTCACACCAACCTGAAAGGTGCATAAAGTCGTCAAAGTGCCCATTGTATGTAATAGAATGGGGGTTAAATACATTGGATAATCGACGAGAGCCTATGTAAAATCTCTGACCCACACCCAATTTGTTATCCATAGCAGAACATGTCGCTACTAAGGGACGCAACTCTGATAAGTGAAATATTACGGTGTCTTACCCAACTTGGCCGCCCTTTGATATCTACAGAATCTGTTGCAGACTAAGATGAGTAATATTATTGACATACGTCTGTGAAAGCATGTGAGTGATAAAGGGGTTAATATCTTGTCGCGAGATTAAATGTTGCCATTCACTAACCACCAACCGCACGCAACCATCCTTGTGTCTGTTTAATGCACGACAAGTTCTGTTGTCACCACCTGAGCAATATTATTCAACCTTAATGTGGTCGCAAGTTTATGTAGCTGGCATGCACATGGTTGTACTTGTGAGGACTTGAATGGTGGCCCACTGAGATGTCATACCAGTTTTGTTGTGCCAGCTGATAGTTTTAACATCGATACTTCACTCGCACATATTAAACTGTGATATAAACATATTTTATTCATGACATATTAACATAACATGAATATCGATAGGCACAAGTCAACGGCATATCAAACTGACTCCGTGCCTACCAATTCTTGGGTTACCCCTTTAATGCCGAGTGCCAGGCAGGGCAACATCAAGTGCTGTCTTATGGCGTTACTAGTGAATGAGTTTATTGTTAATAGGTAATTAAGACACTGCCGGACACCGACAGAACAGACCTTCAGCTCTGCGTACGTTCAGCCCTCTACACCACGTAGGTGGTCGCTGTAACGATGACGTCAGGATGCATTTACCCGGTGCATCTGATGCATGATACTACATAAGTAACACAAACAGCTGGTGTACCGCATGCCTGGCAATAATGGCCTTCATTACAGACGAGTCATCACTGGATCAATTCCAGGCTTAATAGCGCTAACATGTTCTTATAAATACTTTACATACGTTTTATGGATCTTTCATCAGTTCTTTTCTTGTCACAAGCAACTCTGATCAATATTTCGCCTCATTTTTCACACATCGTTCTAAACGTTCAATAGTTTTTGTCGCACCTGAATCATGACACTTTAAGGAGCGGGTTGTTTATGATTCTGATAGTAACGACACGGTTAACCTTGACCTCGGGTTTGATATAAATACACAGACCACGCAATTCGTGACAAAAAATATTTAAAGATAACAGATTTCTAGGAGACGGCTGATAAAGATCCCATATAACGCCAGCATATTTAACCACCTCAGTGACTGACCTCTTGCGTGGCGACATACGACCGCCTCTGATCTGTGGAATGTAACCTCGATTTCCAATTGTCCTGGTCGTTCTCAGTGGATGCACACACCACATTAGCGGTCGCCTCTGGATGTTAAACAGCATTCAGCTGTCCACTTCACATGAACACGTACAACAGTCTTTAGCGGTCACATGTGGATGTAGAACAGGCTATAGCGGTCACATGTGAACAACAATACCCGTTCACTCTGGATGGCATTACCTGTCCAAGTAGATGAACAACAGTGTTACCTGTCCATGGGGATGAACAACAGTGTTACCTGTCCAAGTGGATGAACAACAGTGTTACCTGTCCATGGGGATGAACAACAGTGTTACCTGTCCATGTGGATGAACAACAATATCTACCCTCCCAAGTGGATATACCTGACAGTATTAACCGCCTATTTGGATCGATAACTTTACTCAAAGGTAAACGTATTTCCATAGAAATGTTGAACAGGGTGTTTCCATGTTCAAACCTTGTTCATTGTGCTTGAATATAGCGAGCGAGTGTTTTTTTTTAACAAAACAATAGTTCAGCTATATGACAGCCGTCTGAAGATAATCGTGCTGCACCAGTCAATAGCATCATGCACATCAATCTATCCAATTGTATTGACATAATGTCAGCGAGACTGACCACCCGATCCCGTCAGTCGTCTTTTTACGATTTGTTGTGAAAACTAGTTCAACCGCTCCTGAAAACCAACGTTCGATCGTGCTGAATACCTTCAGTCGTATGGCGACATTGCAACGTTTCGGCTCGGGTTTATATTGCGAAATTCAGTAAACTGTAAATAGCTAAAGGTCTGTGTCCGCGACGAGGTGGAACAACGTGTTTTCGTGCTACAAAGTACTACACGTATTCTAAACCACACGGGATATAGATGTACAGGCACGACTTTAGCTCATACACACTTTGACTAATTTAACTTTGACCTCTCAAAACATCACTATGAACTATCGTATAAGACAAGCTCACCTCATTTCTCAATCTGATTTATTCAGGAGTATTGTGGTGAGATGTGTCCTACATAGAGCTGTGTTTATTTTTAATACCGCCGATACACCACGGGTGTATTGAATGATCGAGTCAGGGCAAGACATGGTTCTTTGTGTGTGATGATTTAAACATCGCTTCACGATGTCGGTTCACAAGACACGCCCTCACGTGACTGGGATGAGCACCCGGGCGTCACAATGCTAATACCTCTGTCACCATGGTATTAGGATCCTTGCTTGACTCGCGGAAAGCTGAGACAATTTCTATCAGTTTATGTTGAGAGTAATAAACAGAAAACTAAACTTCGCATCCGTGAAATGCCATTTCTATTAAACTCGTGAAAGATTTAGTATCAAACTCCCTGTTGTTCGTTTGATACCAAATCATTAACTCGTTTAATAAAATGGCATTAAACGGGCAAAAGTCGTTTGTAGTCTGTAACATTTAAATCTCAGAATTTTATTCAACCTAGGATAAAAGTTGGTTAACAAACGATTATAGTTTCAAAATCGTTATCATTAGTTTGTATTACAAAGGCGTATGCACATTAAATGAAACACCGAGAACAAGTAGGGTTGGTCTATGTTAACGTACGTGCATTTGTTTCACTGTTCAAACTACTGCGCTTACCGTCTTGTAATACAAACCAATAATAGTGATTTGAATCTATGATCGTTTGTTAAACAACTGTTATCATAAGTTGAATAGAATTCTGAGATTTAAATGTGCAATTGGCAAGGTAAAATTATGAGGATTCGCAATCAACATTTCACTTATTTTATTTACTTTTGTTTAAAGTGAAATACATCGGTACGTTTTCACTGCAAAAACAGACTATAGTATCTTCCATATTGTGTAACAACAGATGATGTTGTCGCAAAATCAAAAGATCGGCAGTGTGTGTATTTTACTGTACACTAATGCAGTTTATGCACAGATGTTTGCACATCAGTGCCATGATAATAATGTAGTCATAGATTAAGTATAATGAACTTGTTGCACTACCTCCATTTCATGTATCTGAATATGTGCATATCTGATAAGATGTAAAACTTATAAAATGTTGGATGGATGTTTATATAACAGTGATAGGATTAATTTTACTTCTCCTGAGGTTTTATCAATTTCAAAATATATTCTATAACCTTATACTTTTACATCCTCAATCCAGTTCAGCTACATCGTTGTTGTAACCTGAATACTCTTATTTTCAGCGCTCTAACATCCACGCTGTCTTAACCGGGCACGCAACTGTGGGAGATCATTTAATGTTAGGTCACTGCTCCTTGTATCCAAAACACACGGCACTTATCTTATGTTAATTTCGTATAGGTAAAACATATACTAAATAAGGTTACGCATGACTGAGAATCCCAGCTAAAAGCATCATTTGCATAGACCAAGAGTCATTACATACCTCCACCCCCAGTGCCCCCTTTCTGCAGCAAACATGCATTGTGTAGTATTAATCAGATCATACTACCCACACTTTAGTACACAATGTACTTTCTGCCATAAAGTAGGTCACCATTCTGGAATGAATACCCAAGGCAATAGGGACTTGCTTCACGATTCTCAGACCTCTGGGATCAGGCATGGCTCTCTCAGTTGAGAACACTGTTCCAGTTAAGGTGGAACAAGTGGAGACAATGACACCAGTTGACAAGTATCCCCTATGTCCTGTGCCATCATTTCGACTGATGCTGACACTTCCAAAGGCACACACACCTTCACCCAGTCAATCTTGCTCTTCTGCAGTACTTCTTTGATGACTTTACTCTCTCTAGTATTGCTGGCGATACAACTTTTAGGAAAGCTGTTTCCATTCGAAAGTTCAGTATCTATGCTCATGACATTGTTAATGTTTTGGCAAATGATAAAAAACCTCTTATCTCAGTCCAAAGCGTATTTCAGTATTTCAATGTATTTCAACCCCAGCTTGACGGTCAGATCACTTCACCAAGCTCTTGATCTGATACTAATGATTGTCATCGCAGCTTGGGTTACTTCTGTTCTCACCATTATTTTGTTCATTTGGATGGGTTTTTTCAAAGTACGTGCACTCTTCTCCTTCTCTCATCTACCAACGCAATCCTCTGACTCACAACGGTCTTGTTGTTTAGCTCACCACTGGTCCAGAATGTGTCACTGTTCCAGTTCTAACTCTCAGTTTCTGTCCTACCTACTGTCACAGTAAATGTCCTTACAAGGTTTAACAGCTTTGAGTCAGGATATTTCTTTCCTACCCTTACTGTCAGCTGGTCCGAATTCACGGTTACAAATCAGTTGACCCCGGACCATAATATTATTATATGGTCTCTGGTTGACCAAAACGTCTCACTCTGACCCGAATTCCTTCTTCCCTTTCCGTAAACCTTTTGCTTCCTTTCATCCTAATGGTTCTTGCTGGTAGATACCAAATTATAAATCATTCCTCCATCTTAAAAGACTGACTGACTGACTGAGTTTAGTTTTACGCCGCTTTTAGCAATATTCCAGCAATATCACAGCAGGGGACACCAGAAATGGGCTTAACACATTGGGCCCATGTGGGGAATCGAACCCGGGTCTTCGGCGTGACGAGCCAACGCTTTAACCACTAGGCTACCCCACCGCCCCCATCTTAAAGAAATTTTAAGTGGACTGTCTGAACAGTTATACCTTTTGTCATATTATTATATTGTTTATGCATTCTGTTAATGGCATTTTATGCATTTAATTGTATGCATTTGTACTTAAGTTACGTTTGTCTTTACAGTAAAATAAAAAAAATGCTAAGCTTTTGTGGTCAAAAGCTCCAAGGCGCACAAGAGTACTATAACAGTGCTAGAATTATTACAGTTTTCCAACGGTTTTATCAGTTTCAGAATATATTTTATTACCTTATGCATTACATCATCAATCAAGTTAGGTTTCAACGTTGTTAGAACCTGTATACAGTAATTATTCTCAGCTTTATAACAGTCAGTCTGTAGCAACAAGGCTAGCCACTCCGGACATTATCAAATGTTAGGTCACTGCTTTTGTGTCCTAAACAAACAGCTCTTATCGGTGTAAGACTTTTCATGTACCAAAAAATGTATCTTGGGGTGCGGAGACCGAGGAGCGGCCTGCGAGGTGGTATATCTTGCAAGACGCTATACCGGGATTTCCCGTATTTAAGCCCTGGGCTTATTAACGGAAAATGACCCTTCTCGTTCACAAATAATAAACCCATAATTAAGCCCGGGGCTTAAATTCGGGAAATGCTTGTAACTGAAGACAATGATTCTAAGACACGATAAAATGGAATGAACTTTAATATAACCGGAATGATAGAGAAACCTGAACCTTAGACAACCATTAAAGAACTGTCATAAACCTGAACTTGAATGACGCCCCTCTTTGGATGAAATATTTACATACTTTACTGGTCTTTGGGAACGTGTCCTATATGTTATTATCATATTTTATTGCGACCGCGTGTGAGTCATATGGATTGGGATTGGGTATAGAGTACCTGACCTCTTTTGTGCTCCAAAACGTTATGTAAACATGAAAACCTCTACTCATGCAGTAACTGTATCACAAACGTGCACTACAAACGTTATATATGCTGAAGTTTGCCATGTGCTTTTACAAAGGGACGTCACTCTAAACAATAACGTTTGAAATCTTAATTTAGGCCCATGGACTTAATAACGGGAAAATATCCCGTTTTAAGCCCATGGGCGTAATTACGAGTGGGCTTTCTCCTTCTACCACCAACACAAACCAGATAAAAGAACAAACATCAGTGTAAGTCCCCTGCGACACTTGCCGAGGCGTTTATTAAAACTGTACGCGGTACATCACATCACAGTGAGGATAAACGCCTCACCGTCTTGTTCCACGTAAACATTCCTTTCAAGCAGATTGACCTTCCTGCAAGGCAGTTTTACGTTTGCACCCTAGAAGAAAAAGTACGCATATTATCACTGTAGACATCAGATGCTACTGTAACATCTTCTCCACCTACAATGGATACCTAGGTATGACAACACTGCAGCAGTGTTTCTCATTATCATCTCTTCTTGCAGCACCTTAAGTGTCACAAATCAATATGTTCAGTACAGGTGTCGCAGCCGAGAATGAACTTACCGCGCTATGACGTCACATTTATAGACATATCTGACAGCGCCCTCTAGACCATGCATTACCTCCCCTTTTTATCTGGTTTGTCCCTAAAGAGAAATCAATTTCTATCTAATTCACCCAGCTCAAACGATAGAAATTTCATTAAATATTGGAAATCCCTGTACCCAATAGATAAAACTCTTTATCATCCAAAACTGTGTTCCACAGGAGATATTGCTTGTGTGAGATCAAACGATATCTCCTAGGAGATATCGCTTTGACAGTAGATTTTGTACAATGCCCTGACAATGCTATGACGTCATGAACTTGATGACGTCACAATGCTATGACATCGCTTCACTGCAAGCCTAATGGCAGTACTGTGTTCAGAGATGTACATTTTTCATTGAAAACTAATGAAGGGTGATTTTGGATGATAAATAGAATCTCACCCTCGTGTCTTCTGATATCAAATATATCAACACTCGTTGATAAAAGTTCAAATATCCTCGGCAAGCCTCGGATATTTGTAACTTTATCAACTCGTGTTGATATAATTGATATCAGAAGACACTTGGGTGAATTCTCTATGTAACGCTTTGGTATAGATGATATTTTTATGCCCACTCAAATCCTTTATGACAGAGTGTTGTGAGTATGTAAGCAAACCGAATCATGAGTCTTATTAACCTATTCAGACAATGACCTACTTTTCAGCCGATCTGAACTCTCTCGTGTGAAAGTGAAAAGAGACTACACAAACAAGTATGGTTACATTGAATTCCAATTTCTTGTTTCACAAGAAAATAGTATTTACAAGTGAATTTTAAATTTAAACTTTAATAACATCGTATTTCTATATTTTAAGGCGAGGTGTAGGCAGCATGACCTTAACTAAGACGTCACAGACTGCCCCTGTTTGATGAGGTCGTTAATGATTCACAATGCATCTGGCTTACTGGTTACACCTGTTATGTGTTATTTGAACTTATTCAGTGTAGTTTTGTAACGCACAGTGTGATTGATATAATATCAAGTTCGTACCAGATCGCCAAACTTTTCTAGCGGTAGAGCCTCGTTGTGAGATTTCCACGATTTCCATAGTTCAGTTTGTCAGAACACACTGTACAACAGAGCACGATGCACGACGTGTTTGCAAGGATTAGAAGGAGCGTTGAGGTGCAATATATGTACAAGTGCTTATATGTATCTAATAATACTGATAAATATGTATGTATCCAGTTGAATGAATTGGTCTAAAAATTCTGGACTGGTTATTGTACTAAGTTGCGCTATAGGACGGAACTCAGTCAGCAGTAAAGAGACTGTTGCGTAATCAATGTTTTGACTTGTATTTACACCGTTTGAACAACATTAAATCGTTTTCAGTTGCTTGTATAAATGGGACTTTGTTTAATATTGGCAGCATTTCCGTTACACCGAGGGGTATTAGATGGATGTAGCGAGCCTTCGCGCACTGGTACCGACATATCTATAAAATGAAGTAGAAGCATCTTTCTAATCTGAAATTCTCATATCACGTTTCGTAAGAAAACGTACGCGTGTTTCCTTGAGGATTCGTTATCTTTACTCTTGCTATTGCCTTATGCATTAAAATTAATATATCTGCTCGACAAACGACAATCGATCACAAATACTTGTTTACGTCATAAGCAGTTACGCGAAATAGGCTAAGATGAGATTTAATTAAGTTGAAGTCTTTTCCTGAACTGTTAGTAGTTAGTAGCTCTCCCGGTCGCTTACCGGGAATTCCATTGTAAACGTAATATTTATCAGCGGGGAGTGGAGTGGGGAGGCGATGCGGCAGGGGGGTCTGGGTCTACCTGTGAGAAACTTTGCCAGTTTTAGATTGCTATCATCCTGAGATAATGGATACTTTACTCATACTCAGACTACTGACTGTTAGATCAGCAGTCATCAGTGCTGATCGACAGGCAGAACCCTGGATATGTAGAATTGCCACTGTCGATATATTTATAATGCCATATGTTCACTTTCATCGGACGTATCCAAGCCAACAAACCAGACCATGTCTTGTTTATGAATGAATGAAACTGTCACTGTCTTTTGGCACAAATGTAATTGACAAGATTCAGGAAAACCATGGCAAATATGCGGACCTCGCTTACGAAATGTTAAAAGTTTTGCGACTCATATTGTTCTTGGTGTCTGTGGTTTGGCACCTTCCAGTGTCTTGACTGACACGTCGAGAGTACCCGGAAACGCTGCCAGGAACACAACGTGAAATAAATGTACTTAAACTATATGAACTTTACAAATCTATTCCTTTGTATAATTCTGTGATATAATCTGGGGTAATGGTTGTTCAAGAGTCACGATTTCACCTCAGCCCTTGTTTCCGTACATCCAACCACTACGTGGCTGGGCATATTGACATCGTGTATTTCACTTGCAATTACAACATTATATTGCAAGGTTACCAAGTATATAATTCTTCCATACAGTTTTCATCTATAAAGTTTATTCAGGAATCTGCAAGCGTAAAACCCGACTTGATTGGAAACACATATTGAAAACTATCTTTTTAACTGTTATGCTGATTTTTATCTCTTAGCGCAAACCAGTCAACCAGTCAACCAGTAGTGGATCTGTCCTTCCCATAAATAGAAATGGAACTAATGTGCCTCCATTTTTCTGCCTAAATCTAGTGTTGATTATATTTGTATGGGATTGATATACATGTCTTTGTAAGCGAGGGACAATCGCTTTTTATGGGATACGGTATATTTGATTTTGCTTATTTTGCAGGTTTTGATGCTACCCTTCAGGACAATGAAGCAATACAGTCGCTATTTTCTCGGAATCGTCGTGGCCTGTGTGTTTGTGTACATGTGTCTCTTCTTTGTTAATCCGTCTACATATGTAAGTTGTATCAAACAAGATTAACAAAACACTTCAAACTGTTTAGTCAATCCTATTTACTGTGTATCTTTGCATTTTCATTGACATGACCTGAAGGTGATTATATTTGAAGAGGTGAGGATGAAGTGAGGTGAAATTGGGTTTAACGTCGTGCTTGAGAATATTTCGCTCATATGACGACGTGCGTGCGTGTGTAGGTGTATGTGCGGCTGCTTGTACTAGCCCAGACTGAAGCTGCTAGCCCACTGAGATACCATGCCGCAGTGAAGCATGATTACCCCACTCAGACACATTATACTGACTCCGAGCCGACCAGTCCTTGACGTACCCATTAATGCCGAGCGCCAGGCAGGGACCAACAAGTACCATATTTTAACGTCTTTTGGTATGACGCGGTCGGGGATCGAACCTGCGACCTTCCGCTCTCCGGGCGGACGCTGTAACCACTACACCATGGAGGCGGTATATTTGAAGAGGTAAACTGGCCAGTAGTGGTTAAAGCGTTTTCTCGTCACGCCGAAGACCAGGGTTCCCCACATGGGTACAATATGTGAAGTCTAAGTTATTTCTAACATATGTCATATTTGGGATTACACTTTCTCAGTAAAGTACAGATTCTAGTACTTTTGTTTGGTTGAGTCCCATGCAGGATTTGAACCCACACCTTCTGAGTCAGCCACCTAACCCCTCAGTCACCCCGACTTCCACCGCGAAAGTACTAGAATCTGTACTTTGCTAAGAAAGGGTAATTTCTAATTTTATTGCCGACCCCCACCCCCAAATCTTCTTTTGTTTTCATTCCAACCCCGCCCACTCGAACCTATAACGTACCGCTTCGTCATATAATGTTTTTATCTTATAATAAGTCGCTGCCACAAGGCCAGAGAAATTGTAATAAGAATTGTAAATAGAACCAATTATTCAGATAATTTTGACTTTATTAAATTTTTCCCGACCGACCGACCCATGTTCAGAATTTGGTGGCTACGTGGAGCATATAACAAAAAGGTGCCCTAACGTCTAAAACTAGATTCAAAGTTATTCTTCTTGTGCATGTCATTTAGCTTTCCACATTCAAACATGTTTAAAAGTATGAACTTGTCCCCTTTCTGTAGCCATGTAGATATAGAAGAGTAAGACTAGTACTGCTGAAAACGTCTCTTGCAAGAAATTGCGCCTTTGATGCAGAATGTTTCAAATTGATAGATCAAAAGAGGCTTATTTTATCAATGACCACAACACGTTTTATCATATCATCTTATATCATTCACAACAAATTAAAATATTTTTTACCTTTTGCTATGAATATTGACTAGACATCCATAATTTACAGCTTGTTCAGCTTGACCTGATCAAGTGAATACTAATGCTTTGCGTGACCGTGTCAAAACTGGTTGGGTCTATTATTGTGAAGGGTGCACCTCTGTCAGTTGATTGTCAACATGTCCGAACAGCCGAGACAAGGTCGCCGTTTAACATTCTCTGCTCCCCTATTTAATGAGGATAACGCGACCTGCCGTTTGTGCCATTTGACCTCCTGGGTCATGCATATGTAGAGTTTGCTCAGGTCAAGCTGAACAAACTGTAGGCATATGGAGGATATATAAAAATCAGCATACGGTGTAATTTCTTCAATCACTTGTGAGCCTTGGAGGAAAAGGACACCGTTTTCTTTTCGTTAGGGACACATCCTTGTCAGATTCATAGACAAAAGTAATGTATTGATTTTTCTTTCTGTAATGAGTCAGATTTGTATATATCTATTTATTCGTTTACTACGCCAATTTTTCATGGACTCGCCATTCCATCTATTAATCCATTCACAAATTCATTCATTCGAACTTGTACTTTCAGTCCTGAATTAATTCTTTCTCGCGTTCCATAAAATATTCTGTGGCGATTTCAAATTGAGATGATGTCTAACATGTTTTGATTAATGCTCCTGTGTTTATTTTCAGAATGCCAACAGAGCTGTATCACCATTGGCGAATACATCCCTACACCTGATTACCAATAAAATAGTATCAGAGGCCAAGGTCGACATCACTACTCAACTTCCGTCCACAATTTTTCAACCTACTAAGCCTTCGTCAGCAAAGCCCAATGTAACCCTCACAACCCCAAAGCCTACCCTGCCCAAGCCAGTGCCTAAACCTCTAAAGGTCAGACAACACACATGTTCGCACTGCATACTACGAGGTCAAAATCATTATTTGTAAACTTGACGGAAGTCAGCTGGGGACATTGTGTACTTACTCTTGAAGGGTCAGTGGTCGAAATAAACGACTTGCAATAATTTCTGAAAGTTCATGGGCAATCAAAAGATCTCTTAGCTTCCAAAACTGAGCTTCTGTTGACCTTTATTCACAAATACGCTGGTCAGAAACTAACCACTAATCCCGCTAATAAAGTAATAAAGTAGATATGAAGATGGAGGATTGAGAATGATTGATACAAGTAGATTTATTGATGCTTTGAAATTATCAACCTTAAGATTATATTTTAAAAAGTGAAAATAAAAATCCATGCAATATACCTTTCAAAGACATATTTAACTTTGGAGCTAATTCTGAAACTTTTCTTGAAATTGAAAACCCTTTTGGCATGAGGTGCTAAAAGCATGGAAACTATTTCACAAACAACATTATGTTGACCCAATAACATTAATGAAATTCTATCCCAACCACTATGGTTCAATCACAACTTCAAAAACTCTACATATTTTATAAAGAATTGGGCAGAGAAAGGGATTTTGTATATTAGGGAAATATGTGATGAGAATGGATTACTATCAATAGAATCTTTAAAAGAAAATTATCATATCAAAGGCACTTTTCTAGGTTTCAGCTATTTACTGAACATATTACCTGAATCTTGGAAATATACTTTAAAGCACTGTTCCTCTATTCCAATCAGTAATTTGAATGTTAACCAATGCCAGATACATTTAGTAAAAGCATCCAAAGGTTGCAGAACTTTTACGATAAACTTATTTGTAATGATAAATATCCAAACATTTGTAATAAATGGCAGCTTTTATTTCCTGAAACTGACTTTGATTGGAAAAATATATTTACAGTATATAGAAAGGGATTGCAAGACCTGATCAAGTGAATACTAATGCTTTGCGTGACCGTGTCAAAACTGGTTGGGTCTATTATTGTGAAGGGGTGCACCTCTGTCAGTTGATTGTCAACATGTCCGAACAGCCGAGACAAGGTCGCCGTTTAACATTCTCTGCTCCCCTATTTAATGAGGATAACGCGACCTGCCGTTTGTGCCATTTGACCTCCTGGGTCATGCATATGTAGAGTTGCTCAGGTCAAGCTGAACAAACTGTAGGCATATGGAGGATATATAAAAATCAGCATACGGTGTAATTTCTTCAATCACTTGTGAGCCTTGGAGGGAAAAGGACACCGTTTTCTTTTCGTTAGGGACACATCCTTGTCAGATTCATAGACAAAGTACATGTAATGAGATTTTTCTTTCTGTAATGAGTCAGATTTGTATATATCTATTTATTCGTTTACTACGCCAATTTTTCATGGACTCGCCATTCCATCTATTAATCCATTCACAAATTCATTCATTCGAACTTGTACTTTCAGTCCTGAATTAATTCTTTCTCGCGTTCCATAAAATATTCTGTGGCGATTTCAAATTGAGATGATGTCTAACATGTTTTGATTAATGCTCCTGTGTTTATTTTCAGAATGCCAACAGAGCTGTATCACCATTGGCGAATACATCCCTACACCTGATTACCAATAAAATAGTATCAGAGGCCAAGGTCGACATCACTACTCAACTTCCGTCCACAACTCTTCAACCTACTAAGCCTTCGTCAGCAAAGCCCAATGTAACCCTCACAACCCCAAAGCCTACCCTGCCCAAGCCAGTGCCTAAACCTCTAAAGGTCAGACAACACACATGTTCGCACTGCATACTACGAGGTCAAAAATCATTATTTGTAAACTTGACGGAAGTCAGCTGGGGACATTGTGTACTTACTCTTGAAGGGTCAGTGGTCGAAATAAACGACTTGCAATAATTTCTGAAAGTTCATGGGCAATCAAAAGATCTCTTAGCTTCCAAAACTGAGCTTCTGTTGACCTTTTTTCACAAATACGCTGGTCAGAAACTAACCACTAATCCCGCTAATAAAGTAATAAAGTAGATATGAAGATGGAGGATTGAGAATGATTGATACAAGTAGATTTATTGATGCTTTGAAATTATCAACCTTAAGATTATATTTTAAAAAAAGTGAAAATAAAAATCCATGCAATATACCTTTCAAAGACATATTTAACTTTGGAGCTAATTCTGAAACTTTTCTTGAAATTGAAAACCCTTTTGGCATGAGGTGCTAAAAGCATGGAAACTATTTCACAAACAACATTATGTTGACCCAATAACATTAATGAAATTCTATCCCAACCACTATGGTTCAATCACAACTTCAAAAACTCTACATATTTTATAAAGAATTGGGCAGAGAAAGGGATTATGTATATTAGGGAAATATGTGATGAGAATGGATTACTATCAATAGAATCTTTAAAAGAAATTTATCATATCAAAGGCACTTTTCTAGGTTTCAGCTATTTACTGAACATATTACCTGAATCTTGGAAATATACTTTAAAGCACTGTTCCTCTATTCCAATCAGTAATTTGAATGTTAACCAATGCCAGATACATTTAGTAAAAGCATCCAAAGGTTGCAGAACTTTTACGATAAACTTATTTGTAATGATAAATATCCAAACATTTGTAATAAATGGCAGCTTTTATTTCCTGAAACTGACTTTGATTGGAAAAATATATTTACAGTATATAGAAAGGGATTGCAAGATACAAAGCTTATAGACTTTCAATATGGATTTCTACAAGGTATTATTTACACAAAAAAGGAATGGGTCAAAATGAAAAAAATGACAAGAGATTGTGTGTGTTGTTTTTGCAAAGATGTAAATGAGAGTGTGTGTCATGTGTACTGGGAATGTCAGGAGACTCAAACATTTTGGATAAACCTACAAATTTGGCTTTAACAATTATTATCCACATCCATTGAAATTATCAAAAGCATTATTTGGTTTGGTACTCAACATGAAAATAGATTACTAAATCTCATCATCATTGCTGCAAAGAGACATATTCACTTATGCAGTATTAAAAATATGCTTCCAAATCTAACTTTCTATATGAAAACTCTAAAAGAAATATTCTTTTGTGGAAAACATATATCAGCAAAAATAATAAAATAAATAATTTCCAACATAAATGGAGCCTTCTCTCCCAGTACTTAGATGACTCAAACTGTATTGACTTGTACCTTACATTATCTGTACATTATCTATTTAATGAATTATGCATGTTTATAAATATATTAATACAAAATAATCTCACCTGTACATCTGTACATTATCAATTTAATGAATTATGCATGTTTATAAATATATTAATACAAAAATATCTCACCTGTACATCATGTAGCCATATTACTTTAAGCCGTACGTATCACGGCTTGGTATATCTGCAATATTGTAATCTTGGGAACCAACAAAAAATTTTTTAAAAAAATCCCGCTAATACATATAACGTTTGAAACCTTACGCTGTTTATTCGTTCCACGTTCGAGTGAAAGCAATTAAATGCATAGACCATAAAAAGAATCTGATCATCTGTTTGATAGGCGTTTTAGAATATGATGAATATTAAGGAAGGTAAGATACTTTATGGATGCCAACTTCTTTGTTATATTATGATGGGACGTTTCGGTACGGGTTCTTATACCGTTCACTCTTGCTTGACAACGGATAAAACCTATACCGAAACGTCATATAATATAATAGAGAAGTTGGCATCCATAAAGTATCTTACCTTCTAAAGGATCTGATCAATCTCCTGGGTGTATATGGAAATAGGGTATGTTTATTTTCTAAATCTCCAGCAGTTTAATTAGTCATTCATATGCTTCTCATTCGGTGATCAAAATGGAAATGTGATTTTCTTGGTGGCAGACACTAAAAGCATCTCAAAGGTTGTCAGTCATTTCATAAAGCATCTTTTCAAAGGCGATAGCTCTATAAGTTTCACGAATGAGTTGTAAACATGTATGTTTTCCGAATTATCTGTTGAGCGTTTAATTCAGCAAGTCTATTAGGATGGCTCATTGAATTGTGACTCATGGAAACTCAATAATTATGTTTCCAGATATCGCTATCACAGTTATAATAAGTCCCAAATACAAACAATATTTGTTTTCCTAATGAAACATATACCGTGACCTTCCACAAAGGTGTTAATCTGTACTTAAAGCCTGAAGCCTGATAAGTGATAACACAGCACGTACATAAATTTCCTTGTTCATTCGATGCAATACATAAAGCTGTATGTTTCCGTGTTCAGTCAACGTAAGGTATAAAGCTGTATGTTTCCTTGTTCAGCCAAAGTAATACATTAAGCTGTATGTTTCCTTACTCAGTCAACGTAATACATTAACATGTATGTTTCCGTGTTCAGTCAATGTAATACATGAAGCTGTATGTTACCTTGTTCCATCAATGTAAGACATTTAGCTATATATTTTCTCGTTCAGTCAACGTCATACATAAAGATAGTGGTTAAAGCGTTGGCTCGTCACGCCAACCCGTTCGATTCCCCATACATAAATTTCTGCCCCCGCCGTGTATTGCTGGAATATTGCTAAAAGCGGCGTAAAACTAAACTCAGTCAGTCAGTCAGTCATACATAAAGATGTTTCCTGATTCAGTCAACGTAATACATAAAGCTGTATGTTTCCTGTTTCCAGTCAACGTAATACATAAAGCTGTATGTTTCCTGTTTCAGTCAACGTAATACATAAAGTATGTTTCCTGATTCAGTAACGTAATACATAAAACTGTATGTTTCCTGTTTCAGTCAACGTAATACATAAAGCTGTATGTTTCCTGTTTCAGTCAACGTAATACATAAAGCTGTATGTTTCCTGATTCAGTCAACGTAATACATAAAGCTGTAGTTTCCTGATTCAGTCAACGTAATACATAAAACTGTATGTTTCCTGTTTCAGTCAACGTAATACATAAAGCTGTATGTTTCCTGTTTCAGTCAACGTAATACATAAAACTGTATGTTACCTTGTTCAGCCAACGTAATACATAAAGCTGTATGTTTCCTGTTTCAGTCAACGTAATACATAAAACTGTATGTTACCTTGTTCAGCCAACGTAATACATAAATTTGATATGTCTTTATTTGGTTCGTGACTATTCTTTTTTAGATTTTTAGATATATAACTTTAGATATTATTTAGATTATCCATCTTTTCTCTCATTCCAGCGGCCACCATGCTATGGAGGAAAAATTCCCAAAGATAAATTTGAACTATACAACACATCTCAGCCGCTGGAGGTTACAGTTGTCACAGCCTATTTCAACCTTGGACGATTCCAAAAGGATCTGGCAACTTTTTGACAAAAATCTTTACATGAAGTGGGCGAACGTATACCAATATATTAGAAGTCCTTTCGTGTTTTATACAGATTCATCGGATACTGCTGAAACATTCAGAAAGATGAGAGCAGGATATGAAAACATTACAAAGATTTTATTGGTGGATAGAAAGTCAGTGTGGGCCTTTAATTATGTAGAACGGATTAAAGCAATATATTCAATCCCAAGGTTACCCAAAGCACCACCCTAACACGGTTGTACCGGAGTATTCATGTGCCCAGCATGCTAAATATGCAACTGTTGAAGAAACCGTAGAGAAAAATTACTTCAACACAACCTATTTTGCCTGGATAGATTTGGGATATTTTAGATACATCGTTGGACGGAAGAAGGAGTTTGTGATAGTAAAACCAACTGATTTCAACGAATCTCAAATCGCAATGAACAAAGTGTACAATGTGAATATGGACGTGAAGGTGGAGAGCATCTTTAAGGGGAATCGGGTGTGGATTGGCGGAGGGATGTTTTTGGGTCAAAGTACACTCTCCCGACATTCATAGCCGACTATCGACACGCAGTTGAACGTTACCTGAATATGTCTCTTAGTAACACAGATCAACAAGTGATTTACTCGATGAACACCATCAAAGAAAAGCCTTATGTAAGAAGACGGGTACCAATACAGCAATACTCAGCTAACACGGCCGGTGATTGCTGGTTCTATTTGGGGTTTTCATGTTACAGAGAACTATCCTGACCCCCATTATGCTAAATTTGATTCTAAGATGCCTAGCGGTTAGAACAATCGAAAAAAAATACATTATCAGACAATAAAGGTATAGTTTTTTGATGACGTAACAATTGAATGACGTTATCCCATCACTGCGCCATTCTAGTGTGCCCCCTCGTAATCGAACCATTTTACATTACGTCACAATGTAAGCGACGTCACGATGCATGTCAGTTGTCATCGCCTCGTACGGCCTCCTACAGTAAACTACTCCGTTGCATCCAGTTTCTTGGTTTGCTGTTGCTTCACGCAGCTAACATCACTGTTGGAAACATTACGTTTATGTTTTACGACGGTTAAAATGTGTCATTTCGACTCACAAGTTTTCAGCGACACGGTAACGTTCGTAATGTTTACTTTCCCACAATGCAATTGTGGAATGTCGCTTGACTACTCAACTTCCTCTGGATGTACTGATCTAAACTTACGCTGGTAGTAGAAATGCAACGTTCATATTGCCCCATATGGTTTACGTTAATGACAGATGTAATCAAAATAGTTCAGAGAAGATATTTAATCCGAACTCAAACCGTCATCAAACTGTTATCATTTGTTTTTTTTTTTTCTGGTAACGTTCGTCTTAACGTAGGGGCAGACACATCAATAGAACAGCGCGCCAGTTAGCCCTGTGCGAGGATTCTTAATTTAGGTCACCGACACCGTCGTTTGTTTTCTGCCTTAAATTAATCGTAATTATCTTTAGAAAGTATTAAATTTGGCATCTTAGAAATGAAATACACTTCGCCCTACCATGTATGTATAGTGTAATAAAACACACTTTCGCCCTGAATTATTATATCGTTAGAAGCACTCGGACGCAAGCGTCCTCGTGCTTTAACTATAATAGTTAGTTCTATAATAGCAAAAGTGTGTTTTATTACACTATACATGGTGGTAGAGCGAAGTGTATTTCTTAATTAGATATGCTTGGGTTTTCAATAACAGGTGTTTACCGCTATGTAGTTTAGACCATCGCTATGTGTGAGTGAGAGTGTGTTTGAGTTCATATACAGTTCATATACCCACAAGTCAGCGTATATGTTGGTGAAATGTCCGAAGTGATGCCGCAAATGTATAACTGTGTTGAGTGTTTGTTTTACGCCGCTTTTAGCAATATTCCAGCTATAACACGGCGGGGACACCAGAAATGAGCTTTACACATTGCGTCCATGTGGGGAATCGAACCCGGGTCTTCTGCGTGACGAACGAATGCTTTAAACCATTAGGGTAACCGCCGACCCTAAACTGTGTTAAAACCCAAAACCCAGTAGCACATGGATGCTGCAGACAAACAAAGGTTAGTAATCCGACATCTTTATGGATTTGAACCAGGATTATGACCTACCGAGGCGTAGCAAACCTGAATCTGGTAATTCCGTTGCATCGTAATATATCAAGGTCGGAGGAAAAATTATCAGACACCTCCCATTTAACCAGGCAGCTATTTTATTACTTATGACTTTAGATTTCAACTCTCGTGTCCTTTCCTGTTTTGCAGTGCTATAATTGTGCTTTAAGAATGTCAGTGTTACTGTTGGTCGTTGTTACGTCATTGCTATTACGTCAACTTTGAGAATACATCAAGGTTGGGAGTAGAGCCGTCTCAGGTTCCGTCCAATGGCATCGTAATACAACAGATTTGTCTAAAATATCAGTTCGTTAACATTCATGTCAATACGGTATGAACATCGCTGATAAGCATACTCGTGAACTGTAGTAACTGTCCAATGTTTTAGACGTGTCATTTCACTGCTTATACTGGGATTCAGACAAACCGACTGATGCATTTTACAAACTCAGTATCTCAAAACTTGTAACTTCAATTGTTATTTCAATTTTTCTTGTACATGTGAAGTTTTGTTAAAAACGTGAAATACTGTGAACAACGTATTATATATCTATGTAATAATCATATTGGCAGTCTGGAAATAAATTATATTTTTCTACTCCGGATGTGCAGATGGGCTTGAAAGTATCCCAGGGGAGTTACTGTGGGCTGTTAAATGGGTCCGAAAAGACTTGCCCTTTGACACGTCGCTCAGATTTGTCCATAGGCTCTTAAGGGGCCGTTGATGTGCATATATTCACACATCTCGTCAATACACATCTCGCGTGGGTTGGGTCGTAGGCGTGTATACGTCATATGGGAATATGTGACTGATGTCAAACTATAATTACTGCGCGGATGACATTTTAACTGTTATAAACGCAACATTTTCCATGCGTATTTTAGTGTTCAAACTCAACATTACAACACTGAAGGATATTTCCTCTCATCCCATCACACTGAAATAATTTATAGCATCTTTCAGACAATATAGCTGTGCACATGAATAAAACACATACAATGTATTTTATACACGACATGATTTGCAGGTCAGGTTCATGTGCAGGCCACACACACACACACACACACACACACACACACACACACACACACACACACACACACACACACACACACACACACACACACACACACACACACACACACACACACACACACACACACACACACACACACACACACACACACACACACACACACACACACACACACACACACACACACACACACACACACACACACACACACACACACACACACACACACACACACACACATTTATAGAACAAACATGCATGGTAACAGTTTTCAGTTTGTACAAAGAACCCTAAACATGTTTGAGACCCTAAACATGTTTGATATGTTCAGCAGTGTATAGCGTGTATGAAGAAATCCACCAAACAACAATTTGCTCCTAAACATTTCAGTTTGTCTTCAGGGAGAGATTACGGTTAAGATTGTATTGTGACCTGACAACCGTTGTCGCTGTGATTGAGGCGGAATCGATGGGTGTTTGCTATTAACGTCATTACTTAAGTGGTTAGAGGGGCGCCACCTATGCAAACAAGAGCTTTATGATGTCAAAAATGTCCTCGGTGACTCGTTGTTATCTTTGGGTACGAAATATACTTTAGGTGGTGTCCTCCTAAAAGTTAGACGTGTATGCTACCCATTTCTCTACCGCCGATATACCATGGGACTTTTTATCTTCAACGGGGTGTATCCAGAATTAATGACATTATTGCACAGTTAGAGGAGTCGTACAGTGACCTAGATATGTGCGCAGACAATCTTACGGAGCTAGTTCAGCAGGAGATGCGTGCTATGTTGAAAACTCGATCATATACTGTGTGTGGTGGTAACAGTAATAAAAGCGTCGTGTGTGTAAGCCTTGGTGGAATGATGAATTGCGTGTGCTGTGGAATGAAACATGTGATGCTGAGAGAGAGTGATGTAAATGTAAGCGTCGGGGTACTGAGATAGTGATGCTAAAACATTGTTTTGTGAGAAAGCGCAAGATGTTTGATAAAGCTGTGCAAATGGCTAAACGGGCGTCTGTGCGAGAAGAAAGTAAGCGTTTGGATGAAATGTGTGTAAGTAATGACAGAGACTTTTGGAAGAAGATCGGTAAGATTGGTGTGGGGAGAGAGACGAAAACAGATTCCTATGAAAGAGATCTTAATGGATGGAAGTGTGTCTGATAACTGGAGTGATGTGTTTGAGAAATGGAAGACTGATTACTGTGAACTGCTGAATGGTGACGTCACTGTGGAGAGTGAAGGGGAGCACACGTACATGTGTTGAAGGGGAGCATGCCTGGTGACGTACATGTGTTGAAGGGGGAGCATGCCTGGTGACGTACATGTGTTGAAGGGGAGAGCATGCCTGGTGACGTACATGTGTTGAAGGGGAGCATGCCTGGTGACGTACATGTGTTGTTTGACGCAAACATTACTGTTTTGGGAATAACCGCAGCTCTGGATAGAAGCCACGTTGGTAAGGCTTCGGGTGATGATGGCATTCCCGTTGAATGTCTTAAATCAAAAGCATTGTCACTGCTATGCATTATATTTTCAATGTTTGTTTTAATACAGGGACCATCCCCGCAATATGCTCTAAGGGCATTATTAACCCCATACCCAAATGTTCCAATCTAGATCCTATGGATCCTATGTCATATAGAGGGTTAACTATTACCAATTCCATGTATAAACTATATTGCAATGTGTTAAATAAGCGATTGCAGTCACGAGCTGATGCAACTGGTGTTATTAACGATATGCAAAACCTCTTTCGTAAACAGAGATCTACTACAGATCATATTCATTCTATTTGTTTCATCATCGAAACAAGAAATGTAATAAAAAGGAAACTTTTGCTGCTTTATAGATTTTAAGAACTGCTTATGATTGTATTAATAGAGGTGCTGCTATGGGACAAAGTGAGACATATTGGTGAAAATGGTTAAATGTGTTTAGCTTTTCAATCTTTGTACACGAATGTAAAATGTAGTGTTCGTATTAATGGTATTTTAACCCCGTGGTTTGGTGTAATTCGGGGCCTGGAAGCAAGGTTGTTTACTT